TAACGGAAAAGTAACGAAAAGTTACTTTCTCAAGTAACGGTAACTGGAACGAGTTACTTTTAAAAATCGGTAACTAGTAACGGTAACTTGTTACTTTTTCTATTCGGTAACGAGTAACTGTAACTTGTTACTTTTAAAAAGTAACTTTCCATTCCCTGATAATCACCTCACCTCACATAGTCGGCGCTTCTACACTGAACAATGAATCTCTCTTATGCAACATTTTGTAACTTGTTAATATGTTAAAAATTATCATCAAATTTTAAAAAATAATAACTACGAGAACAATATGTGTCTTGTCATTTCGACAGTCGGTTAAATAATGATTGCTAACCAAGTAACATAGCGGTCAATTTGAAGACAAACCCAGTGAGAAAGCTAATATCAAATCGATATCAAATCGAGATCGATATCATCAAAACACATCGACGCGGTACATGTATATATATCGATTTGATATCAATTTGATATTAGCTTTCTCACTGGGTTTGTCTTCAAATTGACCGCTATGTTACTTGGTTAGCAATCATTATTTAACCGACTGTCGAAATGACAAGACACATATTGTTCTCGTAGTTATTATTTTTTAAAATTTGATGATAATTTTTAACATATTAACGAGTTACAAAATGTTGCATAAAAGAGATTCATTGTTCAGTGTAGAAGCGTCGACTGTGTGAGGTCAGGTGAATATTAATCAAATTATACATACAATAATTTAATCATTTATATAATTTTAGCTTGAGTTCTCATTGCCACTCAGCTTTCTAACTTTGTGAGGGGTGGCACCCAGTTGGACACGGCTCAATTGGACATGAGCCACTCACAGCGCTTGAGACTACAAAGCTCCTAAGCACCGGTCGCTGTGATTGGTGGTGTCCAATCAAGACGTGATCAATCGGGATCACCCCCTTTGTGAGTATGTGACTTACCTCACAACAGTAAATGATTCAATTTTTGAGAGGAAAAACGTTGGAGATATCATTTTGTCATGCAATACTCCAATCATTGCGCTAAGGGGAAAGATTGCTGATGAAGACTCAAACCATGAGTGGAAACGTTCAAAGTCAAGGTTTATATTTTTAATATTAAGAAGAATTGCGCTAATTGATAACCAGCGTTGGCTCCTATTGTCTGTAATATATGTTTTATGGTTTTTCTTAATTGTTTTAATTAAAGGAGTCTATAAAAACTTATGGTTTTGTTAATTTGTAATTTATCATTATTATTATTACAATATATTACTTCTGTTTCATAGCGAGAACAAGTTACACTTTGGCCCGAGATTCTGCAGAATCCGTAAATTCGTGGGCGCAATGCGAAACGGCTATCATGGAGATCAGGCGAGAAGACCGTGCGACTATCGCGGACGATAGTCCCTCCAGATTATATTCTACGTGGCTGTCTCAAGAGTAATTGTGTCTCTTTTTCACAAACTGTGAAAAATCTTTATAAATATGCGATTAGAATTTCAAACAGAAATTGTAATATATGTATATTATATATATTTTGTTACAGATGCGAAGTGCGAGCTGGCCCTGAGTATATAATCAGAAAATACACATTTTTCAAGAACGGCACGTTTCTCCTGTTACGTTATCATTATGCCGAAGAATCATGCAGCATAGCGACGCACACTGTTACAATTCACGGTTCCATCAAGTTGCTAGGATCATCTGCCATCGTTTCGGGTGCAACTGAAACGAGATTTCACGTGGATGCCATTAATATTGTACCTTTAAATCGACGGGTATTATATAATATTTCCAAATCGATTAAATTCGAGATGAAATCAGTTTGCGAACGTAAAGTAAAATTATTGTAAATACAGGAGATGGATTGTGTATCGTTAAACGGTGGTACCAAAGACATCCTAATAATGTTATATATAACTGTTGTACATAATAATGTCTTTATTTAAATAATATTATACATAACTGTTGTACATAATAATGTCTTTATTTAAAAGGCGCAAAAGAACGAAATAAAATTATTCTTAATTGTTCAGTAAAAATTAATTTCACAGGTCGCTCACAAGTTTGGGCATAGATTGAACCTGACTTGCGGTCCCCAGCCGAAATGGCGACCTTACGTTCCCGAAGTGATTTACGAGCAGCCACGGCAACGCTCGGCGGCGTTATCGTGGCAAGGTCCAATCTACAATTCTCTGCAGATACACTCGTCTGCGAAGAAGAAGCTCGGTATGAACTGTTTAGAGCCTTTTGGGATCGAATTCGCCGAATTGAAGCTGCTGAGAGTGCAGAAGAAATCGTTTGAAAGCTCGTCCAGCAATCGGTACCATAAGCTTCCACAAATTCAACTTTTTTTAGCCAGCCCAACACCCAACATTCATTCTCGCTGGAATTATAAACCGACCTCTTTACAGTCTACCGCTATGATCCGCGCCGACACGGTACGTTTTGGTTACTCTTTTTTTCGCAAGCTTGGAAAGTAACGCATTACCATTATTATTATTCTTTTTTCTATCTGTAATGGTAACAGTAACATTTTTTTTACAGTAACGGTAACGAATTTAGCATTACTTTTATCGTTACTCAGTCCCCTATTAACTTTTGTAGATATGTCTATTCAATAAATAGCTAATACAGTCGGATCACTACAATTACTCAATTTGTGACTTGTATTTTCGTAATTATAATATTCCGATGATGACTTCAAAAGTAGAATTTTAACTTTGGTCTTAGCTTTTTCTCGCCATCCAATGATGAAATAGTTAAAACTCACTTGACATTATCATGACACACAAATAAGATGTATTAATTCCTATATATTTTTATTTGTAATGTTTAATTATTTTTAATAAAAATCTTAATTATTTTTATTGTGTACAATCTGTGATATGACTTGATATTTCTGATATATTGTATCTTTCTTTCAAATGTTTAAGAATTTTACAAAATTTATTAAGGTAATCGTTTTTAATGTAAAGAAAAACTTGCCACACAGAGACAAGTAAAATTTTAATATTAATTATTGTGTGTGTGTATGTGTGTGTGTGTGTGTGTGTGTGTGTGTGTGTGTGTGTGTGTGTGTGTGTGTCAATGTTACAGGTGAGCGGTTGCCCGATATGCAGCAGCGTGTCTCGGAGTACTGAGTTCAGTCCACCTCTTCTTCATCAAACGGCAGCTCTACCCGCACTCATCGGAGGTTATTGGCACAGCGAGAGATGCGAAAGCTCCGAGGGCGGTGTCTGGTCCAGACGTCAATTTCAGATACACTCGGGAGATAAATTGTGGGCCGGTCAATGGGACTATTACAATGATCCGCAATGTTCAATGTTTTTGTACGCGATAACTGCGGCTGGAAGTTATATCCAGCGAACTGGAAGGCAAAGACGTCACGAACAGGTCGATCGAGAGACTTTTCTCGGCCACTATCTCAATATCTCCACAAGGCTCTTGTTCAAAAGGAGCGTCACCAATTCGCCAACTATTCATCATACTGTACAAAGCATTATATTAGATCTCTATCAAAACAAATTTTATCTCGCATCAAACGGGTCGAAAAACGAGAAGCGGCCTGTCACAATAGATAAAAAGGTACAAGAAAGACAGGAAAGATCGCTGACTGACGACGTACATCGACAGCTGTTGCGCGACGAACAGTCTATAGTTGAATCAAGATTCGCAGCGATGCTACGAGGTCATCAAGCATACGAGACCACTACCAGAAAACCTTTTCCCACCTGGAGCACCCTCACTGGTACTACGGAGCTGGATCTACACATTGCCGAGAGCACTTTAATTCCTGGAGACGCCGCGATATCCACTCGTTGTAGCGCCGATGCCGCCGATCGGCGCAGGCTCAGCGCGGGCGTGCCACTCATCACCTGGTCGAGAAATTGCGTGCCTCGCGCCGTCGAAGCGCCCTCCACGTTGGGACTGCGGGCCAAACTGGGCATTAACTGGAACAGTCAGTACATCCTACTGTTGGGCTCGCGAGACGACAATATGTGGGAGGCTCCTCTGCGTCAATGCGCGCAGATTCCACCCCACAATTCTGTTCTGCGAGCGCATCTTCGGAGAAGCATCGGTCTTCGATTCGGACTGCTCCCTGCTTCAGCGTCGTCGAGTCGACTCTCCGCTTGGTGTCTCTTATCGTGTATTTTACTGTGCTTCATATATTACCTCGTTCGACGGTGATATCCGCCGAATCGTTTATACTTTTACTAAGGAGCATTTGGATTCGGAATTTAAGAAAGATATTTGATGTGGAATACATATTTATAATACATGGAGTTTAAAATAAACATTTAAAAGTTTTCTTGTTTCACGTTTTCTCTTATGGAAAATTTTGTACGATTGTAAGCTTGTACATATGTGTAAATATATTATAGAATCGAAAATCGAAGGCTCACAGCAGTAGTTTTACGATAAAGTGGTGTAATTAAATCAATTATTATTATCGCCTTTCGTTGCAATATGTTTGGAGCGAAAGTTTAAAAGAGCGCTGTGTAATAATATCTTAACAAAATTACCTTTTTAAAAAAGGTAAAAAAAAGGTGTCAAGTGTGCATGTACCTTCTATAAAAAACTGTACTTTACATAAACTAAAAAAAAACTGTTATACAAATAATATAATTCAAGTGGTAATATTGTTCATTTTTTATTATAAATTAATCCTCAGTAGTACGTATGCATTAAAAAAAATGAAATTAAATCTTTAAATTACGCCAATTGCAAAAAGAATATATAATTTCTTACAACATATAACCAGAGAGAAACCTGAGAGAGGCCATGGCGGCCTTTTTCGCGTGATAGGCGAAAGCCACCGTACGCTAGCAGCACCAACATCATTTTTATAAAATGATGTGAACTACGCATCGCATTATCGATACTGTCGATAAAATCGTAGTGTCGATACATGGATTTGGTGCTAAATTCACAAATATAATATTAATTTACAAAAAAATGTTTTTTTAATCGAATAAGGCGTTTTTTT